AGCTGGCTCAGTACCAGTGCCTGCTGGTGAAGTACGCCAAGGACACGCGCTACTGCACCTCCGGCGTCTCCACACACGACAAGTGAGTCCCTGGGGCAGGAGGACCCACCGCTGTGGGCCCAGCAGCTGGGCGGCCTGGCTCACCCTCTTGTTCTGCCTCCCCCGCAGGAACACCATGGAGGCCCTGCCAGCCTGCCTCCTCAAGGACGTGTACCAGGAGGCACTGGGCTCTGCGGTCATCGGCATTGACGAGGGCCAGTTCGTAAGTGCATGGCTGAGGCAGATCCTGGGGAGCTCTGCAGGATGCAGCCTCTTCGGAGTACCCTGTGCAAAAAGAAGTCTGAATCCTCTAGGAGGGGGTGGGAAGCAATACCCTGGGGTAGTTTGATCCTGATGGACTGTGCTCGGGTAGTCAAACCCTTTCCATAATCCCTGCAGGCTGAGGACAGTGGGCCTGGAGTCCATTTCACGGGTAGGCAGCATGGCTCCCATTTTCTTTCTTCTTCCCAGACTGTGCTACTGTTTGGGCATGTGCTGATGGATCCTGAGTGAAGTGCCCCTTCTTCCTCCTGATTCTCTTTCTGTACCTCCTCTAGTTCCCAGACATTGTGGAGTTCTGTGAGATGATGGCTAATGCTGGGAAAACAGTCATTGTTGCTGCTCTTGATGGGACTTTCCAGAGAAAGGTAAAATGCTTTTTTTAGTACAGCAGCTGCTTTCGGATCCTCATAGAACCCATCCAACAGAACCACCCCTGCTGTCTCGGCACAGGCTTTTGGGAACATTCTGAACCTGGTCCCGCTGGCAGAGAGCGTGGTGAAACTGAATGCTGTGTGCATGGAGTGCTACAGAGAAGCCTCCTACACAAAGAGGCTGGGAGCAGAGAGAGAGGTGAGTTCCCTTGGAACAAAGTAATTCAGGAGCTTCATCTTGCCAGTCCTGCTAGTCTAGAGGGATCTCCTCAGGGGAACTAGGCTCTGCAGAGTCACTCTCCCAATTTTCTTGCTAGGTTGAAGTAATTGGAGGAGCAGACAAGTACCACTCTGTCTGCCGAGCCTGCTACTTCCGCAAACGGCCTCAGCAGCCTGGGTTGGAAAACAAGGAGAATATGCCCATGGGAGTGAAGCAGCTGGATATGGCTGCCTCCCGGAAGATCTTTGCTTCTTGACTGCTGGACTCCCACATGGAGGAAAAACAAGAGGAAGGAAGCTAAATGCTGCAGCTCCCAGAAGCCATATCTGGCTTCCCCTGCTTTTAGCAAAACTGTTTAAGTGTCTTAGCTCTACCAGCCAAACCAAGCTGCTGTTCTTCTGCACTGAGCGCCAGGAAAGACGAGGATCAACCAGACCTGATGTCAGCAGGGAGCTGAAGCAGGAGCCTGACTAAAAGTGAGTTCCTTTCTCAGAACGCAGAAAAGAGACAGGTGTAGTTACTGATGCTGCCACACAAACAGGTCCTGGAAAACTGTCACAGCAAGCCAGGCTGCAGGCCTTCCATCGCTCGCCGTAGTTCTGGCCCACTCTCTTGGTCTTCTGCATATGTTCAAACTGGCAGTGGTGGCTGGTTCACTTGCCTGTGAATGCAACCGTTCCTTTATCTCTTGAGCACTATTGCTAAATTCCAGGTTTCTTAAGACTATGTACAGTAACTTAGTATTTTAAACCCACTTCCTTTTTTAACACAATCTGAGGAGATAACGTGTTCCTTGTCATAGAGCTGTGGTACAACTTTTCAACTGACACACATAGCAGCAGCCTGGCCCTCAGCAGTCCCTTTGAACAATTGTGCATGGCCTGTCCATTTGCTGTTATGCTCACTTGCTGTGACTCTCTTGTAAATTTTTGTTGAAACACAAGAAGGGGAAGGAAGGCTTGACTTGATGGCCTAACAGCAGGCTCTTCCTAGCTTTTGAACTGAAAAGGGCTAGCAGTAGTCTAGTAGTAGCCTGCTTCAGAGTCCTGTTGGAAGAAATAGACTTCAGGAAGAGTCGCCACTCCAATATCAGGTCCAAGCTTGGTGCTGCCACTTCAGTGCTTAGGTACTGTGAAGTGTTTGGAGGCTCAGGACAACCTGTAAAGGTTTGGGCTACTGTTATTGTGAGGATCCAGGTGCTTGGAAAAGCATCTCTGCTTTGAGTGGAAGGTTCTCAACTCTAGTCATGTATCTTGCTCCCTCCTGAGCCTTCCAAAAATTCTCAAGGCTGATTCTTCCTCTGCTGTAAATTGGCTAAATGATCCTCTTCCCCCTTTGCTTGACTGGGCTTCTGGAAGGTTGTTTTTTGTTGTTTTGTTTCTTAATCCTTGCAAACATGCTTTTCCCTGTAAGCCAGCATCCACAAGCTCCAAGCAGTAGCTCTTTGCTCTGGTCAGCTCCAATCTCCACGCACGAATGCAGTGTGCTCTATTTGCCCAAGCTCTCCAGCTAGGAGGAGGCACCTCCCTAGAAGGTTACAAAAGCAGTCTGAAAACCCCTGCTCCCTCTGCATTACTTGAAGTGATGACAGTCGTAATAATCACAAGCACTTCATTCCTAGGCCTGGGCTTTCCCCTTAGGGACAGGGAAGGCAGCACTGCTACTGGTTTATGTTAATAAATAACTTAATGAAATTGTGTTTGTGTGTTTTATACCAGACTGCTTTGAAAAGGCTTCCCTGCAGTTAACAGTGTGCAAACAGTGCAGGCTGACTGCTCACAGCAGCAGCCTAGGCTGGACAGCTGGTCGCAGGGGTGGGTGGCATTGGAGCTCTCTGCTCAAACCTTCTACCAGACTCTGAGGAGCAGGAGGGCTTGCCTAAAAATAGACACCAGCACGAGTGTGCTGTTTGCAGTGCAGCAGTTGGCTGGGGTTCCTCTGTTGGTTCCCTGCCTGGAACCCCCCACCCCAGCCCTTGGGGAGAGAGGAGGAACCCTGTTTTGCTTCCCTGGAGAAGAAAGGCATGTGGCGGCTAGGTGAAAAAGTTTATTCCATCTCTACAGTGACAAACAAAGAACTATTTGAACACCAGCCCCAGCAGCGATAGCTCGCATACCGCACGCTGCTGCTGGGAACAGCTTCACAACAGGTGCAGCAGAAAACACAACCTGAGACAGCCAGCCTGCACAGGCGCCGGAGCAGCACCCTCGGGGTCAGCCGGGACTGCGGGCTGCAAACAGGGTGCTGCCGAGGGAGCAGCGGGCAAGATGCAGGATTGTGGCCTCGCTTCTACCAAGGCAGTACTTAGTGGGAGGTGAGCGAGGGGTGCCAAGCACCGAGTCAGCAGAGAAAGCACTCCAGGACCTTCCTCAGGCAGCTGGAGCAGCCACAGCCCCACTGAGAGATCCCAGCGCTTGCTGCTCCCGTGGATCCCAAACAGCATCATCTGAGCACCGGCAGCTCTAGTGCAGGCTGTGGGAAGGCACAGCACAGGACTTTATAGTCAAAAGAAGAGGGGGCTTTGGCATCAAGCTCACCTAGCAGCAGCCGAGGCAGGAAGGCACGGGAAGCTAGTGTCGGGCAGCAGCTGCACTGCCCGGCTGTGCTATGGGCAGTGAGAGCTGGCACTTGAGGGGTTGCAGCCGGTGGGGCCGGAAAGGCACTGGTGCCAGGACGGGCCAGGGCAGCAGTCACAAGGGCACAGCCAGGCCAGAGCTGGGGGCTGGCGGGTGCAAACCACACACCTTCCTCCTGCGGCTGCTTCCCCAAGGGCACAACAGTGAGGGCAGGCGCTCAGCCTGGCCTGGGCTGGCCCCACACCCCCACCCTTCCCAGAGTCGCAGGGCTGCGCTCAGCACTTGAGTGCAGTGTCACTCACACTGCACTCACTGCACTCAACACACCCATCACCCACTATGTGCCACATCACCCACTACACACCAGGCTCTGGATCCCAGCGGTGGGGAGCTCAGCTCCACCACTGGGACCAGGTCCCTCCTGCACCCCAGCACCGAGGCCCAGTGGCCTTCACACAAAGCAGTCACCACCCTCCTGCCCTACCTTTCCCCTTCAAGTCACAGGTTCCCTCCCCACCCACCCCAGAGAAGAGAATTGCACTGGTACAGCCATCCCCGCCACACCGCTGGGCAGGGCTCAGTACACCGGTGGGGGCTGGTAACCCTCCGGAGCTTCTGCTGTGTGGGTGAAGGGCGGCTGCTGGTAGCTGTCATGGCTGATGTTGGGGTAGCTGGAGTAGGGAGTTGAAACCTCTGGGGTGGGGTCGACATAGCTGTGAGCAAAGTCTTCCACCCCCATCTTGTACCTCTTGTAAGCAAAGGCAATCAGGAGGCCCTAGAGAGACAAGGGGGCCAGCGGCATCAGGGCTGCCCTGGGCTGTGCAACCCGGGGAGCCCCTCCACATTCCCTCCCAAGCAGGGCAGGGCCAGGCTCTACCATGGCTTCACTCACCCAGGAGAAGATGGAGAAGAAGCTGAAGGTGATGGCAGCACGGGCCGAATCAGCCCCAACATGCACGTCCTCAGCCCGCGTCCAGGCCCACTGGTTGGTCAAGAAACAAAAGCCAACGAACCACAGGAACGTCCAGAGACCTGCAGGAGGAAGGTGGTGTGAGGGGCCGGGGCTGTGTTCTGCTGCTCCCAGCCAGGTGCCCAGGCCAGGCCCTGCTCCCACGGGTCTCCTGCTGCCATTGGGGCGAGGGGGGCGTGGAGGCCAGCACAGCTGCCCACATGCAGCTGCCCGTGCGCTACTCCCCACGGCTCCTCGGAGCACTTTCAGCAGGCAGCGCATGGCCTGCAGGCAGCGTGCCAGGCGGG